CGGTTTTGGCAGTTCCTCAAATAGTTAAAGATGGAGTACCGTACCATATGATCCAGCAGTTTCACTCCGAGATATATACCTGAGAATTTAAAACATATATCCACAAAAAAACTTACATGAATGTTCATAGCAGCATTACTCATAATATTGAAAAGTGGAAACAATCTAAATGTTCATCAGCTGATGAATGGATTAAAAAAAGTGGTATATCCATATCATGGAATATTATTCAGCAATAAAAATGTAATACCGATACATGCTACAATGTAGTGGAAACATGCTAAGTGAAAGAAGCCAATCACAAAAGATCACGTATAATTTCTTGTATATGAAATGTTCAAAATAGAGAAATTCATAGAGACAGAAAGTTAACTAGTGATTGCCGAGGGCTGGGCATTTGTGGAAAAGTTGAGAAGGGAAAATAGTGACTGCTAATTGGTTTGGAGTTTTTTGCGGGGGTGAGGAAAATGTTCTAAAAATAATTGTGGTAATTGTTGTAGAACTCTACGAATATACTAAACACCACTGAACCGTGTACTTTAAATGGGTGAATTTTATGGGATGTGAAATGTATGTCAATAAGGCCGTAGGAAAAAAAAAATCTAAATAAAAAGCAGGCCATGAGTAAAGCAATGGTGAGGCTGTGTCATGAACCAAAGATGATCATTCATAATCAGTTTTTGTATCTGAAGTCTAATAAAAATTTTTTTAAGATTTATTTTATTTATTTATTTTTTTAGAGAGAGGGTAAGGAAGGGAAAGAGGAACAGAAACATCAATGTGCAAGAGGACCATCGATCTGTTGCCTCTCACATGCCCCCAACTGGGAACCCAGCCCACAACCCACGCATGTGTCCTGACTGGGAACCGAACTAGAAACCTTTCCATTTGCGGGACAACTCCCAACCCCCTGAGCCACACCAGTCAGGGTGTAATAAAATTTACACCAGTCTATAATAAAATTTTTGAATTTTTTGAAATAAAGAAGAAACAGAAAGAAAGAAAAACAGTGGTTCACAGAATGAAGTCTAAGGCTCTTGTTCCGTAATTTAAAGCTGTAGTTTGTCTGGTTGATGCTACTATGTAATCTTATTTCTTGTCACATACAAACCTCTGCAAACCCCACATCATACCCAGGGCAGCCTAGTTATTGTTGCTTGAAGTTAGCACAGTAGTTCCAAGTGATAGCCTTTGTGGTGCTGTCCCCTAGCCATTGTTCAGAATACGGTTTTCTCTTTCCCCCCACCCCGCCTTCTCAAATCCTAGTTATTCAATTAAGTTCTACTTCCTTTTTGAGTCCTCCCATAGGAACATATATTTTCTGCCTTTGGTTCTTTCATAGAAATCAACATATTGCTATGTCAATTGGAATGCTTCCATATATACATGTTTTATATTGAGTGAAGGAAAGGGAGGAACCTGTTAAGGGATTATAAAATAGACATTAGGAATAAAAAGCTTTAGTAGGTAATGAAAGACTTTATGAATAAGAATAGCTCCAGAGCCAAAATAAGATGAATAGAATTATGGTGTTCTAGGTTCAAGGTAACTGAGCAAACATCAGTTCTAAAAGCTCTTGTTTTCCTGCTGCTTTGGCATTTCTGATCCAAGCCAGCAAGAATTCTTCCTTATTCATTTTACTCATTGCTTTAAATTTTTTTGTAATCATTTTCTCTTCCAAGTTGGGTCATCTTGCAGTTATTTCAGTTGTCTATATGTGTAGATAACTAAAAACCAACAAAAGTCTTAATAATTCTGTTCCACGTCTGTCTATTCCCCGCTTGCTCCATTCCACCTCACTTCCTACCACGTATCCTGGCAGCATTCCCCTAGTACTTCCCTAAAGTACCAACAAAACCCAAAATATCCTGGTGTGACTTTTAACTGCTTATATTTTTCCTTCCAGTCTTTTTAAAGTGTGTAGCAAAATGATCCCGAGTGCAAGGAGGTTGAGAGGATAAAAAGGAGATATTCTTCCCATCCTGGTTATTCAGTCCTCAGAGTGTTGATTAGAAGGAGCTGAACTTGCAAAATGAATTCCAGATTTAGTATGTGTTAATAACTTGAGGTTTCTCCTACATCCATAATTTAAATTTTGAGGAAATAAATTATGTTGTAGCTGAATTGACAATGATTTAGCCAGAATTTTAACAAGCCTTGCACAGAAATATTGAAAATAAATGTGAAATACTGGTGAAGAGGCAGTAGTAGTAAAGATAAAAGAGGAGTATGCTTTTAATGACATTGTCAATTCATAGTAATAGGTATATTGAAGCAGGAGGGTAGGGTAAGATCCTCTTAGGTTTAGTACGTTAAAGAATGAATTGGGATATCCCAGGATCATTCATTGGAGGAAGCTTGCTTTAATGAAAAAAATATCGTAGTAGGCAGGGAGAAACAAATTTTGCTTATATGTGCAACAACTTTAGAGTCAGGAGTAAGAACAATACTTGGAATGATTATAGGAGACCCGTGGACAGGTTTGCAGGATTAGATTATTTTTGCTTGGTATGTAATAGGAAATAAGAGCAAAGGGGATAGGAGTTTTGTCGTTGAAACTTATGAAATTGAAATTTTGCTGTTGGTCATTCCATTGGGTCTAGTTGTGGAAGCCAAGTGTTTGGCTGTGACATGCTGTGAAAGCAGGTGCTTCCCAGATATGGCTCTCTCTTAATTGTCAGGCCCTACTCATATCATTCATTCTTGCATACGCATTTCTCATATAAACACCTAATGGCAGTCTGAGCCTGTAGCCATAGCTGATGATAGATCCTTTTGATAATGTTTTCTTTGTAAAGATTTCCTGTTGGGTAGATAGAATAAACAGGCTCATGCTTTGACTAGTCATGATTTGGCTAGTCTTTAACTTTGTGCTGTCCCCTCCCCAGCAGCATAAAAAGTTATAAAGGTTCTTAATTGTAGATAGAGCATTTGTGATTCAAAATGAGAAACTTCCTATATATTTTAAGTTGCTTATTAGGAATATTTAAAGTCAGCTGGTTTTAATTCATTGTTTGGCCCCTCCTCGACAGAAGAGGCATATATTTTCCATTGAGGAATGACAACATTGATTTCTCAAAGTAGCTATTATGAGATTCTAATGATGGTCCTGACCTCTAAGCCTCTCATGACCATTAATTTTAGAACCTAAGGAATGATGGTTAGGAGGTAGAGGCTCTAGTAGCTGGCCAGCTGCCATTGTCAGTATGAGGAAGGTTCCAGTAACCAGGAGGTGATGAGAGGATTGGCCCAGTGATTTTATTATAGTTTTAATTCAGTGACGCTTTCTTGAGTTCTTGCTATGTTTGGGAATATTGTGTGGAGGTTAGGATAAATAAAATTATGTTCCTCCCATTTATTGACTAGTAGAGGGAATAAACACATAATATAACTAAGTATAATATAAGGCAGAGTGCTGATCAGGATGTAGAGGTATAAACAAAGGACTGTGGAAGCACAGAGGAGGAAACCATTGACATGGTATTTTGTGATGGAAATCAGTTTAGGTTTCATACAGGAAGTAATATTTGACTTAGTCTTTGAAACAGAGTGGTGTTTCATATGTGGAGAAGAAAGGAGAGGGCATGGCCCAGAAAGGAAATAGCATCAGTCAGGCACATACATACAGGATATGAGTAGTCCAGTAATGCTAGAGTGGCCAGGGATAAGTTGGAAAGGTAGGGTGGAGCTGAGTTATGAGGGACTGTAAATGACAGTGCTAAGAGGTTTAGACTGTTCTGTAAGCAGAAGGGAGCCCCCAGATGTTTTTGAGCAAGGTGGTAACACAATGCAATTTGTGTAACATTCACTAGGCAATGAATGGATGGCTCAGAGAGAAATAATAGGTACGGGTAATAAGCAATAGCATCAGCCTATGTCAGAGACGGTAAGAGTATGAACTGAGATGGTAGGAATATAAAGAGAAAGGAGGAGATAGTTGCAGGGCACATTGACAGGGTAGAAGCAGTAAAGTTTCACCAGTTGGAAATGGGAAGTGAGGAGTACAGGAAAGATGACTCTTAGATGTTTCTAGTAACTGAGATGGTGATGCCATTAATGACCATGGGACTATCACTGGAAGAGCAGGTTTGATTTTGGAAAATGGTGAGTTTGAGGTGTTCCTTTCCAGACAAGTATTAGAATTTCATGTCAAGAACTTAACAGCTGGGACTAGAGTGAGAGATAGAAATTTGTAGAATTATAACCAAGCAAATGATAGTGGGACTAGAAGCAAGGAGACAGTGAAAATCAGCACAGCCTTACTAGAAAACACCTTCTGTAGATCGTAGAAAGAAGAAAAGCAAATAGAAAAAGGAGACAGTTGTCAATAAGAGTAAAACTGGGAATGGGAGAAAAGAATTTCAGACAGTAGGGAGGTGCTGAGTATTTTCAGATGCTATAACATACACAGGGAATGTGGTAGATCTGGGGCAGGAGGGAGTTCCAGCCTGTCGTACATATGAGTTCATATAAATATTTATACACATAAAAATACCAGTAAATCAGCAACTCTATTTATTTTGAATAAACAACCTTAATGGTAATAATGTCACTTTGATTTTTTTTTAGTCAGTGTCATTAATACATTTACCATAAGAAATAAGAGTAATATGAAAATTTGGGTCCAGTTGAGTAGGCTTATATGTATTTATGATTCTGATGTGGTCTTAACATCAGTCATTATCCAATTTTATTTTTCTTACAAGGAACAAGTACCACTTGCCTCACTAAGCCTAGGTTTTCGAAAGGAACAGTGCTTATTTTGCTAACATAGACCAATTATGTTTACTTTTACTTAACCAGATGTCTTTTGCATTCCAGCTCATCTATATCTGTGTTTCACTATTATTTTAAGTTTAAGGAGCTGATTGTATACTGTCCAAATGTTGTCTTTTCCCATTGGATATTCAAACTTAATGACCCAGAACCTTTATTCTTGTGACTACAAACAAGTATTTGCTAAGGTAAGCTAACGTGAGTTCTGTCCATTTCCTTTCTAGATTTTGGCTTCAGCAACCATTTCACTCCTGGACAGCTGCTGAAGACGTGGTGCGGCAGTCCTCCCTATGCTGCCCCTGAGCTCTTTGAAGGAAAGGAGTATGATGGGCCCAAAGTGGACATCTGGGTATGCGACTGCCTTCTCTCAGGCCTCATAGAAGTAGTCACCTCATCCTGAACAACCCAGTATGCTCTTGTGAATTGAGATCTCGCTCACCTGTTCTTTGAATTTCCAGTTTTTTGTGCAGTCTTTCCCCCAGCATTTGTCTTACAGATTGAGACACAGATTTCAAACTCCCGCTTTGCCACGTGCAGAAAGAAAACACTAAGGGCAAGCTTGGGTGATGCCCTTGTCAAGAACAGATTATTTTCTGTTGTTGCCTTCTTCCTAGAGGATGACTACTGGGAGAAATTCTAGATCTGTTCCCCAAAATTAATATGTGGAAGCAGAGAAGAATGTTCACTATTCTAAAGATGATTGGCCTTGATGATGTCCCGTATTATTTCTCATTTAAAAAAAAGAAGAAAAAGTCTGTTCCATTATCTTGTGCATGACTCACATCATCTTCAGGTGCATACTATAATGGCCTCTTTTGTTTCCTCTGATGTGATTAATTGTATGTACTCTCTGCTTGGGATGCAGAGCCTTGGAGTTGTCCTCTACGTGCTTGTGTGTGGTGCCCTGCCATTTGATGGGAGCACACTGCAGAATCTGCGGGCCCGGGTGTTGAGTGGAAAGTTCCGCATCCCATTTTTTATGTCCACAGGTAAGAGTGTTGTCAGCACACAGCTGTGACTGGGTTCATGGAAAGTTAGACATGTTAAGTTATCCTAGGAGTTAAGTGATGAAGTATAAATGGCCCATTTAACAACCTTTCTTTCTTTTTCTTTAAATCCTTACCCAAGGATATGTTTACTGATTTTTAGGGAGAGAGAAACATCAGTGTAAGAGAAACATTGATCGGTCGCCCCCCATATGCGCCCCAACCAGGGATCAAACCTGCAGCCTTTTGGCTTATGGGACAATGCTCCAACCAACCGAGTGACCCAGCCAGGGCTAACAGCCTTTCCTAGCTCCAGTTTGCTGAATGTGTACCTCCGGAGGCAGGGTTCTGTAGGAACAGTGTACATGCAGGCTTTGGTGTCAGAAGGCACTACAGAGTTTGTCTGAATTTGGCTCTGGGCTGTGCACCTAGCAGCTAGCATTGTGTGCCACATTACTGTCTGTCTGAGCTTTAGTTTCTTCATCAATAAATGGTTGGCAATTTTGTGAGGATTGTTACTATGAGGACTAAACTAAATAATATATTGTAAAAAGTCAGTAAGCACATCACATAGTAGCAAGGCAATAAATATTCCTGTTTCATCGCATCTTTCACCATCTCTTTCACCCTTTTTCAGGATAATATTTCCATTTCCTGGGGCCCAGTGAAATCTGGTAATACATGCCAAGAATAAAGCAGTATTTGCATCTTAGTATTGCTGCTACTATTGGGTTGGCCAAAAAGTTCATTTGGATTTTTCCGTAGGATGGCTCGAGTAGTCCTTAGTTGTCTTGAACTTCATTCGAAACAATTTTGTAAGATTACATTGTGACAGGTGTCATATCAGCGTGCATTTAAAAATAATCAAAATGTATTAATTTTTCTGTAACCATTTTAATATTGAAGATGTAGTATTGCTGAAGATAGCCACAGCAATCAGACATGAAGAAATAATAAAAGGCATCCAAACTGAAAAGGAAGAAGTAAAACTGTCATTATTTGCAGATGACATGATACTATATACATAGAGAATGCCAAAGATTCCACTAAGAAACTACTAGAACTGATAAATGAATTCAGCAAAGTAGCAGGATACAAAATTAATATCCAGAAATCAGTTGCATTTTTATATATCAATAAAGAACTAACACAAAGGGAAACTAAGAAAGCAGTCCCATTCACAGTTGCTTCAAAAAGAATAAAATACCTATGAATAAACCTAACCAAAGATGTAAAAGACCTGTACTCAGAAAATTTTAAGACACCGGAGAAAGAGACAGAAGAAGCTGCAAATAAGTGGAAGCATATACTGTGTTTATGGATAGGAAGAATTAACATTAAAATGTCCATACTTCCTAAAGCAATCTATAGATTTAACACAACTCCTATCAAGATTCCAATGACATATTTCATAGAACTAGAACAAATATTTCAAAAATTTATGTGGAACCACAAAAGGCCCTGAATAGCAACACCGATCTTGAGAAAGGTTGTTGAAGGAATGACGCTGCTTAATATCAAACTATACTATAAGGCCATAGTAATCAAAACAACGTAGTACTGTCATGAAAACACACGTAGATCAGTGGAACAGACTAAAGAGCCCAGAAGTTAAACCCACACCTTCATAGTCAATTAATGTTACACAGAGGAAGCAATCACATACAATGGCCTAAAGATAGTTCATTCAGTAAATGGTGCTGGGAAAATTGGACAGATAACATACAGAAAAATGAAACTGGACCACTTTGTTACACCACACACAAGAATAAATTCAAAATGGAACAAAGACTTAAATGTTAGACCCAAAACCGTAAAAATGATAGGAGAAAACAGAGAGAAACATAGAAGAAAAATCATGGACACTGCTTATAGCAATATTTTATCAGAATACCTCCCCAGGCAAGGGGGAGAAAAAGGAAGAATAAACAAATGGGACTAAATAAAACTAAAAAGATCTTGCACAGCAAAGGAAATCATCAACAAAATAAAAAGCCCACGGAATAGGAGAACATATTCACTGATAAACCTGATAAAGGGTTAATACCCAAAATTTATGAAGAACTTACAAACCGACAACAAAGAAACAAACAACCCAAATAAAAAAATGAGCAAATGACCTGCATAGACACTTCTCCAAAGAGGACATACAAATGGCCAATAGACATATTTTAAGATGCTCAATGTCACTAATCATCAGAGAAATGCAAATTAAAACCCCAGTGAGGGACTTGTGGTCAAGATGGAGGCATAGGCAGGCATGGCTGGCCTCTTCACACAACCACAGCAAAGTTACAACTAAAATATAGAACAGCCATCACTCAGGACCCTCAGAAATAGAGTTGAGTGGATGTTTGACAATCACAGAATTAAAGAAACCTCACCCACAGGAGGTGGATAAAAATTTGGGAGGGATATATCAGAAGTGGGGAGTCCCAGCCCCTTGCTCGGTACCCCCCACTTCTTGTGGGGGGGGGTACCCCCCCCTTGCTGGGTACCACAGCCCGGGGTTCCAGAACCAGGAAAATAAGTCCTCACAAATTCTGGCTGCAAACACCAATGGGAATTGAGTCGGTGGAAGAAACTTTTGAAGCCCAAGCAGTTCTTCTTAAAGAACCCACAAATGGACTCACCTACTCAGACTCACTCCCTCTGAGCTCCAGCACCCAGGTAGCAGCTTGAAAAGCACCAGTGGTATACATGGAGAAACTGAACTGTCGGAGATGAAGGTGAGCAGAAGCCATTGTCCATTTTCTAAACTTTCCGCCCACGGAGACTACCAGCTGGTGCCTTACCTGAGACTCGGTCAACCTGGCTAATGCTGTTTGACAAGCTTTGAAGATCCCCAGACTCTGGCCTGCCACCCAGCTTACTGGCCCACCCAAGCTTCTTTTCCATATGAATGACTAGTCTTGGCTCACACTTCACAACTTCCTAAATCCCATCAAACAAGCCACAGCTGGCCTTAGTGAACCCTTGACCCTCCACTGGGAGCAACCAGCCTAGTTTTACAGCTTTGCTTCACCTGGGAATCTCCAAGTCCTGCAGAAGTAGCAGCTATCTCAGATTGCTTTATAGCTCAGGAAGGGTGACCCGGGCAAAACACAGATGGGGGCTGACCTTGGCCTGCAACACCTGGGAAAACCCAGAGCCAGTATAACCATTAGCCGGCTACAGACCATGTTGGAGCACCACCACCCTGCCCCTGCACAGCTGATCCACCACAGAGGATGGAGGTTGGAGGTTGGTGGTACGTGGTTGTAGCCAATTCTTGCAACTGATTGGTCTGGATAAATTTCTCCCATTGACCTATCACCAGCAACCAAGGCTCAACTACAAGAGGAAGGTGTACTCAGCCCACATGAAGGGCACACTTAGAGTACTCTGCTTGGGTGATAGGGGAGGATGTACCACCAGACCCTACAGGACGCTTAACTACAGTAGGCCACATTACCAAGACACAGTGTCAGAGCAGCTGTACCTAATACATAGAAACAAACACAGGGAGGCTGCCAAAACTAGGAGACAAAGCAGTATGGCCCAAATGAAAGAACAGATCAAAACTCCAGAAAAAGAGCTAGATGAAATGGAGATAAGCAATCTGTCAGATGGAGAGTTCAAAACACTAGTTATAAGGATGCTCAAGGAACTTAGTGAGGACCTCAGTAGCATAAAAAAGATCCAGTCAGAAATGAAGGATACACTACTTGAAATAAAGAACAATTTATAGGGAAACAGTAGTGTAGTGGTTGACGTCATGCATCCAATCAATTATTTGGAACATAAGGAAACAAAAAACCTATCAGAACAGGAAGGAGAAAGAATATCAAAAAAAATGAGGACAGTGTAAACAGCCTCTGGGACAACTGCAGGCTTTCCAACATTCACATCATAGGGGTGCCAGAAGAAGAAGAGAAAGAGCAAGAAATTGGAAATCTATTTGAAAAAATAATGAAAGAAAACTTCCCTAATTTGGTGAAAGAAATAGACATGCAAGTCCAGGAAGCACAAAGAGTTCCAAACAAGACTGATGTACAGAGGACCACTCCAAGACACGTCATAATTAAAATGCCAAAGGGTAAAGCTCAAGAGAGAATCTTAAAAGCAGCAAGAGAAAAGCAGTATTACCTACAGAGGAGTTCCCATAATACTGTCGGCTGATTTCTCAAAAGAAACTTAGCAGGCTAGAGGGGATTGGAAAGAAGTACTCACAGTCATGAAAAGCAGGGACCTATAGCCAAGATTGCTCTACCCAGCAAAGCTATTATTTAGAATCGAAGGACAGATAAAGAGCTTCCCAGACAAGAAAAGACTAAAGGAGTTCATCATCACCAAACCATTATTATATGAAATGTCAAAGGGACTTATTTAAGAAAAAGAAGAAGATGAAAACTAGGAACAATAAAATGGCAATAAATAAAAATCTATCACCATTGAATCTAAAAACAAACTAAGCAAACAAGAAGACAAAGAATCATGGATACAGAGGGCACTTTGATGGTTGCTAGATGGGAGGAGGTGTAGGGGAATGGGTGAAAAGGCTAGGGGATTGAGAAGTACAAATAGGCAGCTACAGAATAGCCATGGGGATGTAACATACATTATAGGAAATGCAATAACCAAAGAGCTTGCACGCGTGACCCGTGGGCATGAATAGTGCTTGGGACATTGCCCGAGGGAGTAGGGGGTGCAGGGTAGAGGGGTGCAAAAGGGGAAAAATCAGGACAACTGAAATCACATAATCAATAAAGGATAAAATAAAACTACAGTGAGGTATCATCTCATATCTGTCAGAATGGCGATCAATAGGTCAATAAACAACAAATGGTGATGAGGATGTGGAGAAAGGGGAACTCTTTTGCACTGTTGGTAGGAATGCAGACTGGTACAGCTGCTGTGGAAAGCAGTATGGAGATACCTCCAAATATTAAAAACAGATCTTTCAGCCAGCTATACCACTTCTGGGAACATATCCAAAGGAACCCAGAACACTAATTTGAAGG